TGCTCTATGAACACAAATTAGTTAGCATAAATCAGCTAAATGACGAAACATTAGGTGTCTATTTACTTGTGACCTCTCAGTGTAGATAATAAATAGAAGTATAAATTTTGGCACAGCAATGAAGATAAATTGAATGCGACACTCTTCGGAACTTGTCCAGGACATTCAGGTAAAGGGTTGTGCTCCACATATTAGAACAGTAATTAATAAGGCTTCCTTTTATAACAATACGTCCTGATACATTTGACACAGCAGTTTACTTCGCTCGTAGAAGAGCTTTCCACGTGTAATTAACCCCGGTACACAAAGATAAAAATAATTTTTCCAAGGTAAGGAATATATTGACATAAAATATTAAGTGTGTGATTGGAAAGTTATTAGATGATACAAAGAAGATGAAGTTGACTTGATTAAACTTATTTATTTGTTGTAAAACACAAAGATACACAATGAGCTATATGTACTCTATTTCACCGGGAAAATCACATCCCTTAGATCTACCGTCGATTTGTTTAAGAAAGTGGAAAAAATTAATGTTTTTTTGTTTGTTTTAGAGCAAAACCACATTGAGCTATCTGCTGTGTCCACCGCGTGGAATCGAACGCCGAATCTGAGCGTCATAATTCCGTAAACTTTTCTCTGTTCTACCGGGGGACAAAATAATAAATAGAATTGGCATGAAGCAAGGTAAAAACCATTCGTTAAGTTTCGTAGAACACTTTGGATTTTTGAACATTATTGACGTAATGTTGAGTCTTTGTGTAAAGCCAATAATAGATATCATTACATAAAATATTTGTTTATCATACAACATTAAATGTATCATTGTTAACATTTTTATTACTACAGTTATACTCTGAATAACGAAATTTTACGATTCATATTATACACATAATACACAAATGTTTAGTTTAACTCACACTGTTATGACTGGAACTGGTGGTAAAATAAACACAACAATTGAAATATGAAAATATTAACCTCTAGTTTTTTCTAGGTCTATATTACCACTAAAAAATAGTGTATCTAATGGGAAACAAATGCCTTAACGTTTTGTTATTTAGTATCAATCCATAAATTATATTATTTCACCAGATTTCTTTTTATTATTACGATCGGTATTGGAAAGTTACTCTACTCCGTCAACTTCTCGAGTCAAGATAACATTTTGTTACCTAGGCAACATAATATTCCGTTACCTAGGCAACATAATGATCTCTCTTTTGTCTTGTATAACTGCCCTCTGTACTCTTCTTCACAAATAGCATACAAACAACCACACCATATCTTATGACAGGTAAAATAATACCTCTCACAGATTATGCTCGATATTCCGTGTAAAATTTATAAAGTGGGTGTTCATTTCAAATATTGTAATCTATTTCATCGAGAAAAATCATACTTACCTGTTGCGAACAATGTGAATCCAATGCAGTCCTGTTGTTTAGCACAAGCAACTTGCTGCGCCGTTCATAGCTACTATTCCCAATAGGTGGCGCTGGAAAGAATAGCTCCTTGCTGTTCCGGTTATCACGGTAATATCGGTAAATCACAAGAGTAAGTCCTACTAACAATGCTAAGCCAACTCCGGCTGCAGCACCAAGCACAGAGGGTGACACTGTCATACTGCCTAAAAACAAAGTTTAAACAACAAGTCAAGATACTGTTAATTACCTATAAATCTGAGTGTTTACCTATTAATGCATGTGTAGATATATGAAAGTATCTATTTATATATCCAATAATATATGTATGATGATAGAAGAAATTACAGACATATTTTTCTATATATGTCACAGTAGTTAACTGCAGTGTGTTTAATTGTTATCTCGCAGCCTCTATTTTTCTATATACATCAAACAGTTGTTAATTGCAGTGTGCTTGATATATAGTAGGCAGGCTTTATCTACCTTGTTAAGTGCACAATACGTTCTACCTCTGGTGATTCTCTACGTCTACATGTTTATTACGTTTCAATCAGCGCTCGAGGAACGGTAACCCATCTGTAAAGTTCAGACTCAAGTGTTCCCACACGACTCGTTCGACCGTTTCCTTTTTCTTATGGAACAAATATTTGTTAAGGATTTTTACGACAATCACCTGTATCACATCGAGCACTTTAACAGTGCATATTAATTATTTCGTGCAAAAATACATCACAAATCTTTAATTTGGTTTGAATTGCGCACAAAGCTACACGAAAGCTATCTGTGCTAGCCGTCAATAACTTAGCAGTGATAGACTAGACGGAAGGTAGCTAGTCGACACTATCCACCACCAACTCTTGGGCTCCTCTTTTACCCACGATTAGTGGGACTGACACACTGCTGAAAGAGCGAGCGTGTTCGGTAACAGGGATTCGAACCAGAGACCCGCAAAGTGACTCGGCACTCATCAACTAAAACAATCTGTTTTGAAGATCAATTGGGTGAATACAAACTTTAATATACAATCAATCTAATTACAATGGCATATAAAGTGTATTTATTACTGATACATTTTGGTTGGAATAAACATATGTCTGTAAATAACATAATACGATTTACAAGCATCTTGAGATTTGGTGTTGCGTTTAGCAGCTTAGCATTACTATTTCGTTCTGTTCTACAGCACTGATTTTCTTAAACGTAAAGCGACACAATAGGTTATCTAGGAAGTGGTATCGAACCCTGAATTTTAGTCTTATAAGTCCTCAAACTTACTGGGAGGCCTACTTGAATCTATATTCAAAACCCTTAAAAATATGATGAAATAAGTACTAATGTATCACGACCCGTCTGAAGTTCAGCTCAGTTAGTTTTTTATTGTTTGAAACAAAACTCAAGGACGTAACCTGAAGTAGTTGGTGGATCCTCCCTCATAATGTGGTTACATAATGTAATGAGTTCTTTAAGAACTTAAGCCTTTTCTCAAATAATTTGAAATGTATGTTATTGTATGGTAGTCCTCGTCGAATAATGTGTAGCCGTGGTAAATCTGTTGAAGATACACAGAATATTCATATCCCGTCAGGGGGGGGACACTTTTCCTCAACCAGTAACAATTAAGCTGTGAGAGAAATAGAAAAACTCCTTAACCAAATATTCAAGATATAGGGTAGACACTTTCCTCAATCAGTAGCAATTAATCAGCAATTAATCATTTAACTGTAATTATCAAGCTGTGGGTAAAAGCTTTTCCTCAACCGAAAAAATAGAGCTTTCAGGAGAGATCCTCCCTAGTAATGGCAAAGAAAAATAACATTATCTTCTTAATTACAACGTAACAATTACATTTCCATAGTTAGTACTTAATTTTTCTTTCTGCCTCCTTATTTTATAACAAAATAAGAATCAGTTATCCTTCTTGATACACAGTAAAACTCTATAAGTTATATTCTCTTTTTAAAAATTAGTGTTTCTATCACATATATTCTCTTTACTGATTCGATTTTCTCTCAATTATTTTACAGCCATTTGCTGTTGTTTTAAATTTTTTAAATTATATTGAACTATTTTTTTATATTCAGACATTGTTAAGTTCATCCGCTGTATAGTTTGATTGTCTGTGTATTTGTTTTAGATCAGAGGTACATTGGGCTATCTGCTGTGCCCACAGTTGGGATTCTAACTCCGGATTTTAGCGTAGACTTCCCGGGGACCTCTTCCTTTCTAGATTTTACAATTTATCTCTTTCCTTTTACATTTCTCAAGACTACTTTTGGGATATTGCTTGGAAAAAATAATATATATCAGAAAAAATCACCATGAGATTTCTACACATCAAGTGGCAATGATATAATAATTACTTAACATAAAGAATCCACTCACGAATGATGCCTTCTGACGACAGAATCGGACCATGCACGTAACTCTCTTCTGTTTAATATAGGGAAAAACGCAAATAGACCACAAAAAGTGTGAAGTAAAAGGAGCTTGTCGTTACAGAACTGTTAAATAATAGAATCAGTGGGTGAAAAAGTAATATAGCATGCAATATTAAATAGATTTCAAAAGGCCCATAAGATACCATTCCAAGAACCTTGATTATATGGACATACTTCTACACTTGTTAATATCTAACTTTTACATTGCTAACTTATCAACGGACAAACATACAGGTTTCTATGCGCTTGTATGCAAAAACTTTCTTACGTCAGAAGATGCTATTTTTATAAGGTAACTTATAAAAATCGCTAATAAAAATGGCCATATGGTGGACGAAATCAAGACTGAAATAGGTAGAGGAAACGAATAGTGTACAGTTGACTCCTTTGTCTTGAAAACTAAAGCTTCTCTGATTGGCTGATACTGGCCTAGTGATCAATATGGTAGAACTGGGAATCCAAATAATGGCTGGAGACGGCTTGAATGGGTAATGAAGAAAAACTTTAATATAAGTTTAACATAACAGCAAATGTACAACGTTTCGACATGGTTTTGTGATCATCATTTTGTCATTGACCTGATGATGGCAAAACCTTGT